GAATACACACACATGCAGGCTTTCCCTAGCACATGAAAGCTGCCCAGCCATGGAGGCACATCCTTGCAGCACAGACACATTCCTGGTGTCTTGTGTTAACATGCAAACTTCAGTGCTCTGGCTCTACCTGTGACAGGAGACTGGGGCTCTTCCAGAGAGCTGGCTCAGCCCACAAGATCTGGTATTGCACTGCCTGGCTCTGGAGCCCTGCAAAAGGTCTATCCTTCAGTACTCTCCCAGGTGACACCAACATGCAGTTTATGGCTGTAAGTGCTGAGAAGGTGAGATTTATGAATGTGTAAGGTATGTTGAGTAGTAAAGCATGCCTCTCCATAGACATTGTTTCACAGCAGTTGTATTATAATAGCTAGCATCCTCTCCGGCACATTAAGGTAGCCAAAGTTCAGGGTATCTGCTAAGGAAGCCTGAGATGCAAACAGTTACCACAAAGAAGCTTCATACTAATAGACCCAAAGAGGCAAGTTTGTGCTTCACACCATGCTACAGCACAGCAGCTCTTGGCAAAAGCCTTTACCTCAGCTCCTTTTTCACAACATTTATCCAATCTGGTTAGATGAAATCTACACTTCAGTTGTGTATGTCTGCATAAGCTGCTCATCAGCAATAGACACTGGGTATCCACAAAAAGTTTACAAACCCTAAAAAAACCAAAATACTTATCTTGAAAGGGCCAAGCACACTCTATTCCAAAGACAATCTTCATGGGACTCTGCAACATCTCTTGTGGAAAATGAGTCATGTCTCAATACATCATAGAATCATAGAATCACAGAATCACTGAGGTTGGAAAAGACCTTGAAGATCATGAAGTCCAACCATCAGCCCTACACCCCTGTGACCACTAAACCATCTCACAAAACAGCACGGCTAACTGTTTTTTGAAAAACTTCAAGGAAAGTGCCTCCACCCCCTCCCTAGGCAGCCTGTTCCAGTGCCTCACCACTCTTTAAGTGAATAAATTTTTCTTAATATCTGATCTGAATCTCCCCTGGCTCAACTTGACCCGATTTCCTATTGTCCTATCACTAGGCACTAGGGAGAAGAGGCCAACACCTGCATCACTACAACCTCCTTTCAGGTAGTTATAGAGAGCAATGACAGAATTTCATAAAAGAAAAGCTCTGTGAACCCATCTATCCAGAGACAAGTGTCTGTCCAGAGTGTGATGTAATTTTCCTGTCCTACTTGTGTAGCACAAGCAACACAGCCATCAGAAAAGCATAGTGGGTTTTGCAAAGCAATGTGGAGAAAGGCAAGTGGACCACTGTGCAACAACAGGTCTCTAATGAATTGTTCAGAGGAGTCTGATTAGTAAGAGCAGCACATACCAAACCTATTTCTTAACCCCACAGTTACGGTAAGATCTTCCAGAATCAAATAATAACATGTCTCTGCCTACCCAGAACTGATCCCCAAAATAACCTAAAAAAAAAGAAGAAAAAGAAGAAGTTGACTTTCCTATCCAGCTGAAAGCATTAAAATAAAACTGTCAGCAGTTTCCAGTAGTTCCAGTCATCTAACATCTGCTCATTCCTACAGTTCCTGTAACGGCTCAGGGGGAAGCTAAAACACTTCTGAAACCTTGTCCTATCTCTAGTGAAAAGGCTAGAACAAATAGCGGTGTCAGTACTAAGGATCGAGCAGGCGAAAACCTCACAGAAACCTGAGCTGCAAAGGACAGAACTAGTTCCATAATTTAGTGCTGTTACACTGTTTCCTCCACACCTTCTAATAAGCTTAATGGCATCAAGGAAAAGACAGCATTGCTTTAGCTATTGTGCTGGAGATAATGGACAATGGTCCAGAAGGGACCTTTGTGACCATGCAGCTTTCCTTTCCATGCAACAAAACAGCCACACAACTTTCCTGAATTAATTATTATTTGACCAATCATCTGCCTGTTGGGCAGGCACATTACCCTGAATGAACAATGCCCAGCGGCAGAAGGTCCAATAGATGCTTTTGGTAAATTGCTTCAGTGATCAATTTGTCTCTCCATTAAAATTCTACAAAGGTTTTCTGGTTTTACATTTGTCCAGCTTCAATGTCAAACAATTTGCTGCTCTTCCACATTGCCTGCTGGAGTCCTTTTGCTCCCCATATAATTGTTGCACTTGGTGACCACGTTACCAGTTTTCATCTTGCGAAGTAAGACTGATTGAGGTCTGTGGTTCCAGGATAACAACTGCTCAACACTGTCCAAACTCTCCAGTTTATTAATTGCGCTTCCTGAAAAGCAGATGCCAGAAACCTGCATTTCTGGCTAAACTATGTTCACTATTCTGTAAGAAACCACAGGTGACTGCCAATCAAAACATACCTCAGATACACTTGGTGATATTGCAACCAATTGATTAAGTCTGACAACTATCAGAAGTGCTAACAATTCCCAGAATTATTAACTCAATCTAGCCCTGCACCAGAAACTGTCACCTTAAATAGGAACGCATTAAGATCTCTTACTTTCTTCAAAGCTTTCAACAGGGCGTCTCTTCTCTAGTGAACCAAAATGTATGACTGCACAGCTGATTTTTTTTTTTTTGTTTTGTTTTGTTTTTTTTAATATCCATATCTTCCTCTGGAGAAGACTTCAGCAATGATTAATCAGACTGCATTCAGGATTTCTGCCAGCCTGGGTGAGCTTGTTATCTCTGCAACAGTGTTTGCAGCAACAAGGGCAGACTGCGATCCCCAAGACTGGGGCATTAGCAGCTTTGGAACTAATCTGCTCTTGTCTAATGCCTGTGCTCAGTCTACTGTGAAACAGCAAATTTGCAGCAGAATGGGGAAAATGGGAAGCTATTATGAGAGGGGATCCAGGAAAAGTGCCTTATCGTAGAGTGAAATGGAAGGATACATTTAAATGAAGCAAAGTAAACTTGCATATGCAGATAAACGGGCATTAATATATGCAGCAGTCAAACTGAGCCAGAAATACAGTCTTCATATCTCCCAGAGAGAAAGCAGTGGAGGTGATTTCCTGTTTTTTACCTGTTATGATGACTGATCTACGAACATTTTGCTCTCCAGTCTTGACTGCTCTATTGCACATGCACACTTGAGTGTACTTGTTCACACATCCACAAACTGAGCACATCTACCTGCACCCAGTGACAAACTAATTGCCTCCCAGTACAACGCACAGGTTACAGATTCCCCAGAGCCTCGACCAGACATCATCAAATTTCCACCACCAGAAACCAGTCACTCCAGACAAACACCTTGTCCTGGTTCGAGCTAGTAAAGAGAGCTCTCTAAATGAAACAAAAATAAATTGGTACAAGGAAAATTGGTTAATCCCGGCTCATAGCAGGACACACCTGCAAGTGGCCTTCCCAGCACACAACACAGCCCCTTCAACACCCGAGAGGATGGCAAGCAAACTGGTGTACTACAAACATGGTCTTAGAATTCCCACTGTGTTCCTAGTATGGCCACAAAAAGCCAGAATATGGATTCAAAACAAAAGCCCACAATGCAGTGCACCATGAGCTTTGAAGAGGACAAACTGCATTCTACTCTGTTAGGACATGTGGTAACATGCTTGCTGCTGACAGATATTTGAAGTGCTAGCACAGGTCAGAGTAAAATAAATTCTTCCAAGGGCATTTCACTATCTTAAGACAAATAATGTTACACTGCTTAGGTTCAGAAGAAAACCGAGAATTTAGATGTCTACAGCCAATGTTGTCATAGCTTCATGCAGGACTGAGGGAAATAATGTTATCCTGAACAGCAGGTTATGCTTTGCTTCAAACCAATAATTTATTCTCATAGTACTTTGATTTGCTGAAGTCTACTGCATTTATTTGTGAATGTAGCATTACACTACAGGCTAGGGCTTTCCTACCTAATAACCTCCATTTCTTCTAAAGGCTAGTTGTGGGAGAAGGGCTGGGCAGATTGCAGCAGCAGCTGTGCAACCTCCATATCCCAACAGACGGGTGTCTGTGTCCAGCTGAAGTGGGACACTAAAATTTCAGTTAACAGAAATGTGGGTTTTCTAAGAAGAAGGCTGGTGTAGAGACCTGAAGCTCTGTAACATTTGTGTTGATATCTGTAGATGTCATCTGTATGGTGTCTACTCCTGACAGTTGTCAACTGCAGAGAAATCACTGTGTTCTTGAGCCATTAGCACAGTTCTGGCCCTGGGATTTGGATGAGTGGGAAGCTCGACTTTATGTTGAATTAACTTGATATGAAGAGACCTAGTAGGATGCATTGTTTCACATTTTTCGAAATATACAGTATAGCTGCTTGGACCTCTTCTAACTTGAACATACACTACCAGCATCCTCCTTCTTTCTTTCTACTCCAGAACAGGAAGTACTTTGGGATTGCCACTTCCATTTCCTATTTCAGCTATACTAACAAAGATAAGAAGTTTGCTCTTGTGCCCATCCCTTACACACACTCCACCACTCTCTTCCAACAAGAACAGAGCTGCTTCCCTCCCATTCTGCCCAAAACTCCAATTCCAAGGCAGAATTGCCTGGTTTTCTAGAAGTTCTTCCCTGCCACTGTCCATGGCATACACTGTGATGAGTAGCCACACAAGAACCCATGGCAGGCTGCAGTTAAGCCTTGGAGGACTTCAAAGGGGACTGGTTATGTGAACAAAGGTAACTCACATGAGTGACAGGTTGTACCACTGGGCACTGCCCTCTGTTTTTAGTGTTTATCCACACAGAATTAACAGCTTTCTGTGGGCCATTTTAGAAGCATAAATTCAGCTCTTGCTTCCAGTATGAGTTGTGGGGCTTATGGCATAAGGGCTGTTTGCTGCATGCATTTATTTACCCCACATCTGAGACCAGTCCTACTGGGTGGCAAAAGACAGTGGAAAATACAGAAGCAAAAGTACACGTTAGATACAGGATGTTCTCAGTTACAGAAACAAAGGTAAAAAATGGGAAAGTAAGAGCCAAGTGAAAAAAACCCCAAAACATCTATTCAAAGCTATTGACTCTGTGTCTTACCTTCCGATGGGTCCCAGATCTCCCGAATCCTGGCTGCCTGCGTCACTGGGTGTGCTCACTGATTTCGAAGAGGGAGACATAGGGGTTGGGACTAAATAATGAAAATAACAGGTATCCCATGTTAACACATGCAGCGACTGCACTGATGAAGAGCAGTGTCAGACAAATCAAAACCAATGGAGCAAAATGATAGTCAATGAATGTGTAGGAGAGTTTGAAATGGTGAAAGCAAATAAGGAAGGAAAGAAAAAGAAAAGGAAGAGAGTCAAGTGAATTTTAAGTCTTTTGGAAGTGTTAAAACTGACATGAATTTAGACAGGACTGAAAGCCCAATAGGAATCTAATCAATGGAGGAGATATCTGTGGAAATAAAACAGCACTTGTTTTCTTGGGTGTAGTTTAAAGTTGACTTGCAAAAAGATTTTAAAAGTTTGAAGAAATATCATGGGCTTGTCTTGTCAAAAAACTAAGTGAACTCTTCTGGTAAAGTCACGTAGGCAATAGAACAAGCATATTTTTCAAATTTTGAATATAAATCAAAAGCCAGTGTCCATTAGATATGGTCTAAGGCTGCAGTGTGGCTATGCCATAAAAAATAAAAGCTTGATAAGGAAATTCAGCTAAGTTAAAATCATTTCCCAAAGATGGTGAGAATACATATTAGTTTGTTCAGCGAACATATTTTCTTAAGTAATTTAAGTCATATAAAGTTTCCATTTTAGGTGGGACATGATTTCAACATTCAAGGAAGATTTCTCCTTGGTTTAGATGATATTTGCCCAAGTTCTAGAAATTACTTTCTCTTTGGCTTGCCAGGGCTTTTGAAGCATATTACATGCAAAGGCAGTTTTGTTTCCTGAAACAGGAAAGGAAGTTCATAGCTCAAGGTCAGCCTGAGCTAAAGCTCTTCAGCAAGGAAATAATAAAAAGTAAATAAAAAGTAAAATTATCCTGATTTCTTTTTAAATAGTTTCACAAAAATATTTAAAATGCAGGGATAGCTCCAGTCAAGATTTAATGCAAGTTTTCTTCAAAGCAGTCACATTGAATAAAACACAAAAAGGCACTTAATGCAGGAGCAAAGTTTTCCATTTGGTTTAAATCATGTGCATTTCCTTTTATAGATTTAATGGAGTAAAGCTTCAAACTGTTTTGTTATGCTCTATAATGTATAATGACAGACCTGTCAACAGATTTGAATTTTCCATGTGGTCAAACATTTAATGCAGATTCTCACTGGAGACTATCACAGAATGCTGTCACTGCAGCATGAAAAGTGAATTCATTTTCATCACAGTCCTTTGGCAGGTTACAGGTATGTCATGGCTGTTTATGCCACCCAATAAGTGAGACAGAACTTAATCAAGGTAACCAGGATTCAGATACTATAAACTTTGCCTCATGTATTTTTAAACTGAGGACTTCAGATTCTTGAACTGAAAAATCGAAAACAAAAAAGAGGTTGAGGACATGAAGCCAGATCTAAAATCTACAATAATGATCTGATGATAAGCTTCTTGCTAGTTGTGGTTTATCTTTTTATTTCTCCTCTCCAGTTTCACTCGATTGTAAAATAAAATCAATGGGAGTTCTCACATGACTATACTCCTCCTTCCTGAGCAAAAGCTTAATCTGAATTTTTGAAACAAAACTTGGGGATAATGAAATACAGCATTTATATTATTCTGTGGGTCATCAGATAGATGTGAGAGAAGACAAAACAGTCCATCAGAAAAGAAATCACTGCTGTTACGCAAAACCAACCTGCATTGCGTTCACAAAAATTTCTTGAAGAAATGAAACAGATGTTTTTGGCAATGACAAGTACTCAAAACGCCATGAGCTGGTATATGCAAATGGTATGGCAGGCATCCAAACAGAAGAGTTCACTTCACTAATACAGCCAAAAATCAAAACAGCCAAGCATGCTTTAGTAGAAAGAATGCATTCATTGTGGCAGAGCTGAATGCTTTACAGTGTGCTTCTCTTAAATACCTAGAGGTGGTTCTGGGGAAATACCAATGCTCTGTAACAAAGCTTCTGTCTCTCTTCTTTTGCGGTCTAGGTCAGAATCTTCCTGAGTTGGCTCCTTCTTCTGCTGTAGATCAGCCTGAGTTAAAACAAAACAAAATAGAGACGTTTCATCCACATATAATGGGCTCTAGCAATTCAGTGTTTGGAAAATATTTCTATGCACCACTGCTTAGGCAAACTTTGACATTCACTTAGATACATTTAGATAATTTATACCTGAGACATTTTATACTCTAGTTACCAGTAAAAATATTTTTCCCTGAATGCCTGGGAAAACTGATCTTTGCAAGTATATTTGCAAGGATTTTTACAGTACACTGATGGACTTCTTATCTCTCACTCATCAGATGCAATTATTCAACTAATGTAAAAGCTGACAACACAATAACAGATATCATTACCCAGAATAAAAATGGCCTTTCCTACTTACTTAAGGATCAAGAAATAAAATTCCATTGGACTTCAGGGATGTAGCTTAAGGGCCTGCATTTGGCCCCAAGCAATTGTTGGCAATAAAAATATTTTTTCATAAACATCAACATCAAACAGGAGCAAAGGGAAAGACTAATGTGTCTAAAATAGAATTTTGGCATCCCTGGGCTCTGAGATCCAAAACTAATGATTCCTCCCAAGCAGATGAGGAAACTGAACCCATGTTCCACTTTATAGTCTAGTGCAATAACCAGTAACGCAAGTAGAACAAAATGCACATGTGGTGTCTATGATTTTATCACATCTATGATTTTATCACATCTAAATACAGCAATCCCAGCATAGCTCTTACAGAGGATGTCCGGCAGCATCTGCCTCTACACTTTGGATTGTAAGGTTGCTTCTAAATTGACTGATCCTATTTAACCTCCACACAGAGAGGTTTTCCTTCCGCCTAAGCCAGAGTGTGGGACACTGACTGCCTCAGCCTAGGGTTGATATTAGTGCGGGCACAACAGAAAACCTTGAAGTTCAGAAGCATCCCCATGTTGTCTAGTTTGGACATGGCCAGGATGCAGAAGAATATTACTTTTACAGACAACAACGAAGTACAGGCATACTCCTGTGCTCGGCTCTTCCCATGAGCAAGCCTGAAGTATCTCATAGCATGTAGGGCTGTAGACAACTCTTCTGGCCTGGTGTCCATGGCTAAGCACCTAAGCTAATGTTAGCCTTCGCTCCTGGAGGCCACTGGGCACAACAGTATATCCTATTTACAGTATCACTGTCAGGAACCGTGGCATAATCTGTAGAGCTGGGTGTCCTGAGCTTATCTGGCTATCAGGGGCAGTGGAAAGTTCCAACCACCACAAGATCTCCACAAGGCATAAAATCAGAGGCAGGGGACAAAGGAAAGGATTTAACAGCTTCCTCAAACCATTAGCTTGGCTCCTTTCCCTCTAAATTCATTAACAGGCTAGTAATGAACACTGAAAATGTTAACTTTTAAAGTTGTGCTGACAGAGGACTTGGGGGAGGGAGAAGGGGGGTGCTGCTAAAAGTGCACAAGACTGGCCCAAATGAAAAAAATATTAAAAACACAGCCAAAACTGGAATGATGATTTCTTGGATCACATCACATTTCCACAGTAATTCCATGAAATTAATGTACAATATTAAAGTGTCAGTTTAAAAAGGAAACCAGTTATTAGTAAAGGATAACAGGTGCTTTAAACTATGGTAAGTGTTGACATTTGAAGGAAAGGAAACATAATCACTTAATGCTTCTCTGACTTTGCATGAAAATTAATATCCACTCCCTGTCAATTCTCACCTCTATTCCACTAAGTGACTGAATAAAAAGAAATACAAATCCCTTAATGAAAAACCTAATGCATATTGTCAAGGACAAATAAACTAATATGTCAATCAAACTTTCACAGAACTGAAAGATGCACCCATGCCAGAAGATGAAAATGCAATTGCAATTATGCTTTACTTTACTGGAGAATAATAATTGTAAATCTGCTACCTTAGCTAGTAATCAAACTAGTCTTCAGTGTACAAAAATACATATTTAGATTGTAATGGCTTGAAAAAAATGCAAGTCCCTTCCTGTCTTTCCCCACTCTCCACTCCCTTTCCATTGAAAGAGAGCCCAGAAAAAAGCATTGTGGCAAATCAATTTTTCTTTCTACACACACATACACATCATGTTGTCTAAATTGTTGTCCTCTGACAGCGCATTGGTTTTAAAAGCAATTCCCTCATCTCAACTTTCTTGACTAAAAATATGCATTTTGATCTTAAGGTTAGATTTGTGTGGGTTTGAGGATCTCATTCCACATGACAGACACCTTTGGGTTTTAAAAAACTGAGATGTCAAAAGCTCAGCAAGCCCCTTCTTCAGGCATGAGCTATCCCACAGGTGCTTCTGCATATTTACCTCTTTCTTCTTCCTTTCTTCCTCCTTCCGTTTCTTTTCTTCTCTTATCTGAGCCAAACGCTGCTTTTTGCGCTCAAGTTCTGCTTTTAAATCACTTTTGTCTGACATTTTGACTCTGCTGGAAACAAAATTATGAAAACCAAGGTGAAAAGAGAATTAAACATTTTCCCTATTTACTGAAAAAAAAAGACTTGATTATATAAAGAATAGTGTTTCTAAAATTGCTACAAATATATGTCTATAGAAACACTGGCTCTTGAACTACACCAGCATTGTAGACAGCAGGATATTTGTTTCACTGTTTTAATTTCAGCAGCTCTGCCAGACCCCCCTGCCATTTAGTTTTAAACATAATTCTCTGTAGAACAGTGATATGAAGCCACTTTTTGTGTTTTGAATCTCTCTCAACATACGCTGTTGTTATGCGAGTCTTGAAAATTACAGATAAAGAGATCTAAAGTCACATGATATAGAAACAGAGCCAGATCTCTAAAGAACACAGGATACCAATCTTTTTCTACAGTATTTAAATCCCACCAGTGTTGCACTAATCCATAACTTCAGTCACAGATAATACATTTATCCTCTATCATTATAGGCTGTCATCTCACTGTATCAATACTGGTTTTCTTATTGTGCTTTACTTCAAAGACAGTCCTGACTAATATAGACATTGATGAAAAGAGTTAACTGTGCCTTTGCTATTAATTCACACATCACTGACCACACCCACCACTGCAACCCAGAATCAATCAGATCAATGGCAATGCCATATATGCACAAAGGAAGGCTATTGTTTGCTTGATGCATGGGAAATTTAAACAGTACCTCTCCATTAACAGTAATGAGAACTCCACCGTGGGTGGATGGATGGATGGATGCATGGATGGATGGATGGATGGATGGAGAGTAAATCTATATGCTAAAAATTGTAAGGCACCTTCACCAATCACAACTTCCTCTGCTGTTATCAGCTTCCTCTGCAAAATGATAAAAGCAGAGGTAGCTGACGATATGGAAGATACTGGCCAACAAAATGTTACCTGCCCATTAAATGCAACCTTGTGCCCAAATGCTTTGTTGTCTTTGCAAGCATTTTGCATTAACAAAAGAAAGTAATAAAATGTGGAATAATCAGAGGAAACTGTTTGTTTACGATGGCAGAGCAAAAGAGGGATGCCAAAGGGACCAGCACACCTGTATCTGTGTGTGTATCACACCATGGATGCACACACTTCCCAGTCAAAATCCCTGCTGGAGCCCACCAGCAGGAGTTACACCAGCCTAGCTCACACCATCAGAGATGCTGCACTTACTTTAGAAGAGCTGCCCACCTTGGTGAGGTTCCCTGCAGCCCTTTCAAGGCCCAGGGACTCCCAGTTCAATCCACAACAACTGACAGCAATTGGTTTATCTAGGAAGGACCTTAAACTCCTAAGAAACCAAACCACTGAGTACAATGGCTGTATATGGAAGACTATAATTTCTTTGTTTCTCCATCGCTCTGGTCCTATGAATGATAATATTGTTTTCAATTTGAGAAAGAGAAATCAAAACTGTCAGAAACACTGCATTTGATATCAAGAAAACTAAGCAGTATCACCTTAAACAAGATGAATCTGTGTGATCAGTTGATGTCAGTGAGCTACTGTTTGTATGAGAAATGCGCACAGAACAAAATAAGCTTTTTAATGGCAGTGCAGGTAGTATTTTGCCCACCAGTCTGCTCAGGATTTGTGGGTCACTCAGATATGGCTGAAATCTCATTTGAAGTCATTTTCCTAATCTGTTGCACACATTTGAATTCTGATTATGGAGTCTCCCCTCAGAGCCCTTCAGACTAGATAGTTTTTGCAGCCTTTCAGTTCTGCAGTTTGGCAACAGAGAGCGAGCCCCTGTTTCTATGCAAAATATATGCAAATGTATTTTAAGGCTCATGATAGAAACCCAGAGGGTTTGGCATCCCTTTCAAGCTGTTTGTCAGATATCAATGAATGACTTTCTAAAAATTCGTTCCCTTAATACCAGTGAAGCTAACCAGCTTTTCTCCTGATTTCAGCACCAATGGTTTAGTGCCTGGCCCCTTCTTTACAATTCTCCAGTCAGGGTGATCAAATCCTATTACAACATTGCCCTACTTTTAACAAAAAATAAAATAAAGATGATGTGTTAAATTTCCTTCAAAGAATGTCGCCAGAAGCGAGTTACATAAAGAAATTAATCTCAAGTTACTTTCATCCTGCATATACTACAGTCATGCCTTAGCCCCCCAAACAGCTTACCCCAGCCTTCAAACTGGCTATTTAGAATTTTAGCACAAACTGAACACCAAGGGTACGTAACCACCTTTCTCAGTTGTCAGCAAGTCAGCAGTGAGCAATAAGGCAAGGATACTTGTCACTCCACTTGGCATTAACCATGGAGTTAACACTGTATTCATTACTGGGAACAAATTTGTAATACTTGCCCTTCTGAATGCCAAAAGGCATCTCACACCAAAAGAGATAGTGGCAGACACTAAAAAATATTTACTGTGAACAATCTCTGTGGTGCAGAATAACAGCCCAAGGCTTCCGTATGACCTAATCTCCTCCAGCCTCACAGCTCCTGACAACCACCTGAAAGGAGGCTGGAGCGAGGTGGTGGTCGGGCTCTTCTCCCTAGTAACAAGGGGTAGGACAAGAGGAAAAAGCCTTAAATTGAGCTAGGGAAGGTTTAGATTGAATATTAGAAGAAACTTCTTCACTGAAAGGGCTATCAAACACTGGAACAAGCTGCCCAAGTAGGGGGTTGAATCACAATCCCTGGAGGTGTTTAAAGACATGTAGACATGCTGCTTAGGGACCTGGTTTAGCACCAGACTCAATAGAATTACGTTAATGGTCGGACTCCGTGATCTTAGTGATCTTTTCCAAACAAATGATTCTATGTTTCAATAAGAAAAAATAAGCATAAAGTGCCCCACATACAGTGAATAAAATAAAAAAAAAGTATGACAGTGCACACTTTTTATAAGCAGGAAAGTAAGATAAAACATCTCCTTTCTCTGAAAGCTTGTTCTTTCTGTCTCCTCAAATAGCATCTTGTCTGCATGCCAACACCAAGCTTACTAAAAAGAAACCTAAGTTTTCAAATCTGATAGGAGATAAGGCAGCCTACAGATTTTACAGCTTTTTGGTGTTTCAGGGATTTTTACATGCTGTTCATTCAGAAGACTGCACTAGAGTAGAATTATATTCACCACTTCATGATCCTCAAACTCCTGTTTTATGACTTACTATGTTGTCCTTTTCATTATAATCTTCATTGCAATTACCAAAGAGGTTCATTAAATACCACAACACATGGCACTAGTCATTCTATATAACTAATTATAAGTAATTGATTAATTAGTATGATTTTCTAAAATAAATAGGCAGCATCTAGCACTTGTAGATGCTGTACATGTATTATTTATATGCCTTCATAAAAAGCCAGATACTCCTGAGTACAAAACTGCAAGCTGTCCATAGTTTGAAAGGAAAAGGCAGTTGCACAACAAAATATGTTACTCAGTGATTTTTTTATTTTAAATAATGGGTTTATAGAGTGGGAGTACTGCTACTACTGAAACTATTACATATGGAGTTTTCTACTGGAAAAAAAGATCCTATTATGCACTATATTTGTCTCTATTTTGTACAAACTAACACATTTGCTACCGTTAGGAATCTTATACATTTTTACAACCAAAAAAATTCCCAGAGAGGCAATACCTATGACTTTTACAAGAGTAAAGTGTGCATCCTGAGTGTGAAAATTTACAAAGCAGATAAACATCTTTGATCCGCAAGAAAACAGAGGGTGCTGTTACCCTAGCACACTTGGATTCTAATCTATGGTATTAATTTGAAAATAATGTTTGAAACACACTTCAAGTGGGTACAAAGGGCTAGACTCATCTTCTTGACAGCAATTTTCAAGTAAACGTATCAGTAGCTCTTTTCATTATGAATCAGAATTAGTACTTGACTTTGGTTGAATAAGATAAATACTCTTGCTAAGCAGGCGTATCGATGTTTACAAGATAACAAAGGACAAATATTTGCAGCTGCGAAAAATTAGCATTTGCAGTATTTTAAGGAATCTCCTGTATGATGAATTCAAGGAAACACTAAGTAAAATTGGACAGATTAAGTATTTTTTCTGCATAACCTTGAGGCAAAACAGTCGGGCTTTTTACACTGCATCTGTGTATTTATCTATAAATAAATATGGTTGTTAAGTGTTAGATTTCAGGCAATGTACCATTTTTATCCTTCAGCTTCTGAACATTTCTAGCAGATGGGCAAGGGTCTTGTACTGTGTTCTGTAAAGGTTTACAGCACACAGAGATTTGGTTCTGTGCTTCCTCCTGGTTGCTATGCAACAGGTCAGTGCATCTCTAGCCTATTTATTCTGAGGCTGACAGGGTGTGAGATATGTACCCACAACTGTTCAATTATACATCCCTTACAATCTATTACTATTTAATCTTTTTCACTCCTGTTCTTCCATAATGGCCCTTCTACAAAATTAACTCAGTTACAGCAGAATTACAGAGTCCCTACAAAGTAGCATATGAGCAAAGCTCTACTGTTGCCCATTCTTCCAACACCAGGCATAGTGTCAATGGAGCATCACCTTCTTGTCATCCCATTCTCTCACGCCCCCTTAGCCTCTTAAATTTACCATGACCTTTCCAATTCCACCATCACAGTTCCATGGAAGAGTCATCAAGGTTGAACAGAACAAGCTGCTAGCAACAACTCGCTGGAGGTACATAACACACAACACTCCAGCTAGGATTGGAATTAATTTAAATACTACATACTTATCAGGTCATTCTAGCAAAGCTGCTGTGCATCTCCCACCAAAAAAAAATCCTACCTTTATTTTGAGTTTTACAGAACTGACTGTATCACCTCAAAGAAAAACAGATCTTTTAAAGTGTCTTAGTTTTTTCCTCAACAAGCATTAACAAGCACAGTTGGAACTGCACAGTGATATCAGGTGTGGTGCTGCGAGACAGTCCTAAACGATGTGAGTTATGATTTATATCTGCTCAGGATCTGACACAGCAATCATGC